TCCATCGTCCCTCTTTCTCAGCATGAGACAGGAGTCCTCCCCTCTTGCGCTCTCCTGCTTGTGCTTCCTCCCAGGATCCCATTTCCCCACTTACCTCAGGGATCCAGGGTTCCTGCCCTTGTCCAGTACAGTGGAGCACTCATCCTCCATTTCTCCCCCGCTGCCAGCCCTGTCTCCTTGCTCACGTTTCCTGCCAACTCCCAGTTTGCTAGTCCCCTCCCTTGATTTCTGCTTCCAATCAGGGCTGCCTACTCCTGGGTTCCTCCCATAACGCAGCAGGAGAGAAATCAACATTTTCCTATCTATAAATTGAGTTTCTAGAGTCCGCCCCCAGCTTCATCCCCCATTTGAGCCAGAGGGCAGCTCTTATGCATGTGATTGGCCTGTCTGTCTCCATCAATCATAGAGCATGTCTTTTCCCACGTGGCTGTTGCAGCAGCTACAAGTTCTGCCCTAGGATATTCTGCTAGAAAACCTGTGTGATGCTGGCAGACCAGGTGTCAGCTCATGCCAAGGCCTCCAGCCTCACTGAACACTGACAAATGCATAGCTGGAAACCAGTCTGGCTCACTGTGTGTTAGCATGGTTAAAAAAGATGTTAAGTTGAAAAGAATGTGTTTAGACCTTATGAAATGCTTGAAGGATGCTGCATGTATTGATCTCACTTATAACATCTGTAGCTCATGGTATACAGTGCTACTGAGTGTTTGCATGTAAACCGCTGTAATTGTGTAACTCACCAAACAGAAAAGAAGCATTAATTAGTGTGTGCAGGGCCAGCACTTCACAAGAAGGCCCACTGAAACCAAATGAGCCACTGAGAAACATCAAATGACAAAGACACACACCCATGAAGAAGAGACAGGCATGGCCACTTGTTCCATCAGTTTGAACTCTGAGGGAAAGGAATAAAATTCCCTGACCAGGAGGCACTGTATCAGTGTGCTGCCTTGAATTTGGAGGGACAATATTTCTAAGCATAAGCAAGGGATCCCCAAGCTGCTTAGCTTAGGTTAGCCCTAAGGGACATACAGATACTGCACATCACAGCAGCTTCCATTACCTTTTGAAATCTAAAACTGTAACTCATTTCTGTGTGTGTGTTTACCTGCTTGTACCTTGTAAATAACTCTCATTTCTTTCTCCTAGTTAATAAATCTTTAGATAGTTTATTACAGGATTGGCTACAAGTTTTGTCTTTGGTAAGAGATCTAAGGTGCAATCGACATGGGGTAAGTGACAAGTTCTTTGAGACTGGAAGTAACCTAAATATTGCTGTGATTTTTTTAAATAAATGGAGATATCCTATCTCCTAGAACTGGAAGGGACCTTGAAAGGTCTTTGAGTCCAGCCCCGTGCCTTCACTAGCAGGACCAAGTACTGATTTTGCCCCAGATCCCTAAGTGGCCCTCTCAAGGATTGAGCTCACAACCCTGTGTTTAGCAGTCCAATGCTCAAACCACTGAGCTATCCCTCCCCGCCTAAATTAGAAAAGCTAATGTAAGGGACCATCTATCACAAAGGAAAGTTTGACCGGCAGGTAAGATAGACTGGAGTGCCCAAAGGGGATGCCTGTGACTCC